ACATATCAGGAGGTATATACAGCTAAATACACTGAAAAAGACTGTGCCCCAAGTGTTTCAAGTTTTGCACCCCAAGCTCGAAGACAGTTGACATTTTTGCCTGAGTGTGCCTTTGTTTTGGTTGCTGCTAGTGACCATAGTATAATCAATCATATCAGAAAAAGATAGTGAAATAAACTCCTTAATAACTACAAAGTGTTTTGTCTCCCTGCTGAATGCACCAAAGATTACGACAGCATGAGTTAAGTAAGTTCCAAGGCCATTTGGTGAATACAAAGGATAAAATTAGCTATTCAATAATGGCCCATTTGTGTTCTGAATGAAATTTTATACTTTTTCTTGATTTTTTTCTCTCATCCAAAGCAATATAGACACTATTGGTCATTTTAGAAACAAAATTTTTTATTGTGCAATAATGAGTATTTCTTTACACTCCTCGAGTGTACTTCAGAGTGTACTTTACACTCCTCTCCACTTGATACACTTTAAAATTATTTTTCATCTCTCCAGACATAACTCATTGAAAGATCAATACCACCTTCATTTTTTTTAAAAATCTTCATTTATATTTAGGGCCCACACCTCTTCAGCTTTGATGTGTATTTCAAACGCCCATTTCTGACCTTTTGATGAGGTATGGATGGCAGAACCTGAACTCTACTTTGAGAATGTATTGCTACATATCACCCAATTGAAAGAAATTACTCTGATCTATATCAAGCAAACGTTGCATCTTCTGTTCTGTTAATATAGAACCGCTATTTACAACAGTTCAGATATATGCAGCCAACAAGTTCCATACAAGCAGTCTTTGGGCCAAAGTAGGAAATCAGCTTTTATAAATTAAAGAGATGGCAACAGAAAATAGAAAAAAATAGATGTTTGTTTATTTAGTACTTGCTCTAATTCAGGCAACCTCCTTAAAATTTAAATATTTTACTGGAGCACCATCAAAATCTGTAATCTAGTAAGAGCTAGATAATAGTTACTCTAGGATTAGCACTATTTTCAAACATCTAGAAAAACAGAATATTTAACTGTAAATTGCCCAGGGATACATAATACTGAGTTGTTCAACTACTACTGAGCAACTACTGCTGAGTTACTCAAAATATTCTTGTGCTATTTGAAACAAAGGTCAAGTCTCTGAACTCATGCCAGTACAAACGCTGGGCACTATGCCAAAGGAGAAGAGAAATCAGCTGACTTGCAGTTAATTGAGTCAATAAAACAATACGTTATTCTTCAGAGATCTCTCAGTTAACTCATACCAAGTCTATGGCATTGATAATACTCTACGCTATTATTTTGTTCTAGGAAAAGGACTGGTCATGCAACAAAGGCAATTATACAATAGCAAATGACTACTTTTAAACTAGTTCATGCTATATATCTTAGCAATTAAATGAAATCTTAATATATTTCATAAACGGTCAAGATTTCCCTGTGTACAAACCTTTCTCCCTGCAGAACCCAGTTTGTAAATTCGGTGCAATTATCTTTAAATTTTGTACTGTTGAAGAGTTATTTGAGGACTTATGCTACCTTTATTGTGTTGCTAATCTATCCACTGTAGAAGTCATTTGCCTTTAAATCAGAACACTACAAAAAGTTGAGAATAGGATAGTTTGTTCTGTGAAGTCCCAAAAAACTGGAAACTTCTAACGAGATTTTTCTTGGATGTATTTTTTTTAAAACAGGGAATAATGCTTTCCTCATAATCCCTAAATGAAGAAATTCCTCTAAAACTGTACTCTGCACACCAGTTCTGAATAACCTGGAGAACTGACTTGACCAACAATTCCTCTGCTGACCAGTGATTCTTTCTAGCAGTTTAACCTGCTTTAAAAGAAAAAGAAATAACCGATACAATGCCTTAAATAATCATATAACATGGTTTGACATAGCTTCACTAAGAAAATAATAACCAATACAATGTCTCAAACAATCAAATTGCATAGCTTCACTCTGGGAATATTGTTAAATCACTTACGTGGTATAGTGGCAGCCTTCTGTGGGAAGAGCTAATAGAGTTTACGATAGGAAAACAGATAATGCCTGCAGTGAATCAGTGGAGTAAACACGGCAAGGAGGGAAAATTAAATAAATATGTATGCAGTTTAAACAAAAACCTTCTGTTTCTTTTCCAGTTACATCGGTTCACCTCTAATCTCTCCTGAAGCAAGTACAGTCTTATCCAAAAATGAATGGAGCCTACTGTCAATGTTTTCTTGTGCCTTAGAGTAGAAGTTTAACAGCTCAGACAGGAAGGCACATCTGAGCTGTCGGCACAACCGCACTGAGAGGTGACAGAACAGTTGACACAGTAACTGAGATGAATAATCTGGCAGTCAAACAGAAGCCAGATCTCTATTACTTAATCCTTCCATCACTGCACCTTCAAGAGCTGCTTCTGAGACAGGATCCTGCTCTACCCGAGCTGTTGTTAGTATGTTGCTAGCAAGCAGAAATGCCTGCTGATATAATGAATCAGGTATATGGCAATTTCTTGTGTATATAGAATTATTTAATAATTGTATCTCATGACAGTTCTCAAAAGAGATTAACTACATTTTCTTTGGGAGTAGAAGCCTAATTAAACACTTGAATATTGTAGAATATAACGAGCCATCCCACTGAATTACAGACTGCCTATACAAGTTTGGAATTTAAGTGCTGTAGAGTGTATTTATTGACATACTGTAAAATATTGTTTTAACACTAACAAGCCAACATATAACTGCCACTGTATTATCATTATTACTCATAAAACACACTCCCCCCCCCTACAATTTATATTTTAATTGCAAATTCTACGGTGCACAGCAGCACCAGTGTTTCTGAGGTATCAGGTATTGCCTCGCTATAATAATAGGTCTTGCACAAAGCCACTTTCCAGTGTTCACCTCAGTAACTTCTGCACTTACCAAAAACTACACGTTCTGTTTTCGCTAGATGTTTTGGAGAAGATTAAGAAGTTATTCTTTCGCAGGCTTATTTAATGCCTGTAATTTGTCAGATCTGTGAATGCCCAAATGCCAGATCTTCCTTGATCCTTAACAATTATCTGATTCCACTGTTCCCTCAGTTATTCTGAATCCCCCTGAATTTTTTGTTACATTTCCCCTACCTCTACGCTGAAGCTCAGTTGTCTCATTTCACTTTCCTACTACTTCAGCTTTGTCGCGTGACGACTCTGCAGTTTAAATAAAAGCAGGTGACTCTTACAAATATTTAACCACAGGACTGAACGTCCTACATTACCCTAGCAGCACATCCACAGCGTTAACACCGTTACTGCCCGTCCTCGCGGAAGCTGCGCGGCCCCGGGGCAGCGCTGGGGCCGGCAGGCCTGCTCGGGGCAGGAGGGCGGCACAG